AAGCAGACGTTTAGAAGTGTTGCTTCCATGAATTCACCAAGCAGACTTTTCGAAGTGTTGCTTCCAGGATTTCACCAAGCAGACTTTTTGAAGTGACGCTTCCATGAATTCACCAAGCAGACTTTTCAAATTGTCGCTTCCACGAATTCACCAAGCAGACTTTTCAAAGTGTTGCTTCCATGAATTCACCAAGCAGACTTTTCAAAGTGTTGCTTCCATGAATTCACCAAGCAGACTTTTCAAAGTGTTGCTTCCATGAATTCACCAAGCAGACTTTTCAAAGTGTTGCTTTCATGAATTCACCAAGCAGACTTTTCAAAGTGTTGCTTCCATGAATTCACCAAGCAGACTTTTCAAAGTGTTGCTTCCATGAATTCACCAAGTAGACTTTTCAAAGTGTTGCTTCCTAGCCATATTTTACAATGGAAATGAGATGTTGCAATGTGATCCACAGTCTCAAATATACGATTACTATTGTCACACATCAATAGTAGCATTTATGACGCAGTCACTAATTTCAGTAATGTGAACAGAATATTTTTTCATTCTTCACCATTGCAAGCATTATTGGTAAATTGTCTGACTACAAAACATTCAAAAATTTTGAACAAATTAACCCCTGGTACTCTTTGTGCAAAATACACTGCGATTATGGACAATTTAATTGAAAATAAAAAGGGCCACCAGTCAGCCATGTTGAATCAAATTCTAAAACAATACAACATACAGACCATGTGTGATGTTAATACCAGCCCGGGATGAAATCAGGTAAAGCATGTCTGAAAACAGGATGAGGCAGGATGTAAGGATGAGTGCAAGAATGGAAAAAAACTCATCTCAGCTGTGAGAAGGCAGCCAATGGACATAGCGTATAAATGAGACATTACCTGTATCTTCACATGTTGGTGCATTGGATGCCTCATGTAAATCAACTAATGTGTCTGGAATCATAACACCCCTGGAGTTAGCACACCAACAGACATTGAGATTATAATGGCACTGTAATTTGGCAAATGTACCATCTGCTTCGCATTGTGGAACGTACAACTCTGAATCACTGGCTGAATTTCCCATTGATGATATGGCAGTCTCCAGCATCATGTTAGCAAAACGACAGGGACCTTGGGCGTCTGTAAGAAATGACAATTTAAATCAAAACAAGCAGCCTATCGGCTGAGATAGCTCCGCTGTTAGCAATGCACATTTCAATTAAAGAACTGAAGACATCATTAGAAAATGAACAATATGTATAGTATCAAAGCAATCGGACTTACAGTTTTTAACAAGAAGTCGAAAATATCACTTTCTACCAAAAATGACCAAAATATTCACCAAAATTAGAGAATTGAAGATATCATCACAAAATGAACAAATCTAAGAAAGGTCTACATGTAGTACCTATATATGTAATATCAAAGCAATTGAACTTTTGGTTTTTAACAAGAAATCGAAAATATCACTTTTTACCAAAAATTACAAAAATATTCACCAAAATTAGAGAATTGAAGATATCATCACGAAATGAACAAATCTGAGAGAGGTTCACATGTAGTACCTATATATGTAGTATCAAAGCAATTGGACTTGCGGTTTTTAACAAGAAGTCGAAAATATCACTTTTTACCAAAAATTATAAAAATATTCACCAAAATTAGAGAATTAAAGATATCATTACAAAATGAACAAATCTGAGAGAGGTCCACATGTAGTACCTATATATGTAATATCAAAGCAATTGCACTTGCGGTTTTTAACAAGAAGTCGAAAATATT